GCTCCCGCTTGCCAAAATCCACATTTCCTATGTGAATAGGGGAAAAAAAAAGATGTTGTAAAAATAGGATTAAGTACATGAGGAAGTGGAAGTGGAAAGTAGTAGTGAGAAAAAATATGCTGTAGTCCACCTCGGAAAAGGTATATTAGAAAAAGATTGAATGAAAGATGTTCAAGAGCTTCAATATCAGTTCGGTCATGGGATAGTGGCGCCAACAAATAGAGTGTATTTTTTTGTAAGTATGTTGTGAGGGCTGGAGAAGTCGTGACGCTATGCCCATCAATCTACTTTCAATACTACTTCTGTCACAACTGGCCCATAATGAATGTATGAAATAATACTTACGGCGATACCGTGGCGGCGCACCGCATTTGAAATACTTAGACGTGAAAAAGATCCAAATGGAACAAATGGTATGGCCCAGTCTTTAGCAAGTGGATTACGATCATACAGTCAGCTTCTCAACTTTGTAAAATTATATCGTGGATTGTATACTTCGTTTTTGTACTTGTTTCGTTGTAAGTATCTATAGCTTTATTTCTTCAATGGTCGGAAGCGGAACGAAATTCGCATTCCCTGAAAGAAATCCTGTCATCATCGTCTGTAAAAAATAGTTGCAGTCGTGGCGGCTGTCTGCCTTTTCTCTGCGTCCCGCTGGCCTCGAAACGTCCAAAAATCTCCTGCAATTATTGCTGGGCACATGATTCTGCTTGAATGTCCCGAAACTCCTTGAAAACGTTCGTCACCCGAGTTGCGACTGAGTGTCGTTCCGCACCTCCGGGGCGGTAGTTCCCAACCACACATGGCTTCTGGCTATTTATGTACTTTCGTTCCACCATGATCACCCACGAAAACATCTACTTTCATGTATGAGATTTCTTCATTCACCTCTTTGATGCGCCTTTTGACTTTCTAAACTCGTGCTGGGACGAGACGATACATGTCCACCGTCATTGTCAGTTTACAACCCTGACATAGAAAAAGGTTAAATTAACCTTAATGTGCCCTGACATTAATAATGTTTTAAAAACCAGCTGCCGCGCCATGTTAGCGCAACCCCAGTTTTCCCCAAAACAATTACGACTAGGACGACTGTGTCTGTAACTACAAGCCCAGCATCACAAAAAATGCGAAGGCCAGCTGCTCTCCACGACCCATGTCGTACTTTGTCGGTTGCGGTCCTCTACTGTGTAGAAGAATTTCTCTGGGCTCTGTGGTCGACGTCAATCTTATGACGCCGAAACGCAAAGAGAGGAAGTTGAAAAGTCGGTATCGGTAGAAGAAGTGTGGCAGACAAGGTTTTGGTTGCAATCA